TTTTATATTACCTTGAGCCTATTGCTTTAAACTGCAGCCTTTTAAGCCTGACTGTGGCTGCTGGCTCCGCCCACTTCAGCTTCCCAACATGGCGGTGGAACATTTTCCGCCAGCTCTGGGAGCCATCGTGGGTCTATGCTTTTATCCAAGCATCGTGTAGCCCAGAAACCTCTTTTTTTGTTTTGTACTAGCAAAGGCTAAATCCACCATGCAGCTTAATGTGCCACTTGCAGAGGCCTCAGTGGCTGTACATGTTTGCATTCCTACCAACAGTTGGAGGAATGTTCCCATTGCTCCACATCCTCTCCCACATTAGCTGTCATCAGTGTTTTTGATCCTAGCCATTCTGACAGGTGTAAGGTGGTATCTCAGAGTTGTTTTGATTTGCATTTCCCTAGTGACTAAGGATGTTGAGCAATTCCTTAAATGTCCGTCAACAATTTGAGATTCTTCTATTGAAAATTCTCTGTTAACCTCTGTAGCCCATTTTTAATTGGATTGTTCAGTATTTTGAACTCTAGCATTTTGAGTTCTTTATGTATTTTGGAGATCAGCCCTTTGTTAGATGGAGTTTGGTGATCTTTTCCCATTCTGTAGGCTGTTGTTTTGTCTTATTGAGCATGTCCTTTGCTCTACAAAAGCTTCTCAATTTCAACGGGTCACATTTATTCAATGTTGCTCTCAGTGTCTGTGCTACCAGTGTAATATTTCAGAAGTGGTCTCCTGTGCTGATGCCTTCAAAACTACTACCTACTTTGTGTTCTATCAAGTTCAGTGTAATTGGATTTATGTTGAGGTCTTCCATCCACTTGGACTTGAGTTTTGTGCATGGTGACAGATATCAATCTATTTGCAATCTTCTGCATGTTGATATCCAGTTATGCCAGCACAATTTGTTGAAGATGCTACCTTTTTCCTATGGTACTGTTTAGGCTTCTTTGTTTAAAACCATATGTTCATAAGTATGTGGATTAATGTCAGCATTTTAAATTTGATTCCTTTTTTCCACGTGTTGCTTTTATGCAAGTAACAAGCTGTTTTTATCACTATAGCTCTATAGTAGAGCTTTAGGTCAGGAATCATGATGCCTCCAGAGGTTGCTCTATTATACAGGATTCTTTCAGCTATACTAGGAGTTTTGTTTTTCCATATAAAGTTAAGTATTGTTCTTTACAAGTCTGAAAAGAATTGTGTTGGAATTTTGATGAGGATTGCATTGAATCTGTAGATTGCTTTTGGTGAGATTGCTGTTTTTACTATGTTAATTCTACCTATCCACGAGCATGGGAGATCTTTCCATTTTCTGCTATCTTCTTTGATTTCTTTCTTCAGCGACTCTAAGTTCATATCATACATGTCTTTCATTTGCAGAGTTAGAGTCACCCCAAGGTGTTTATATTATTTGGGGATATTGTAAATGGTGATGTTTCTCTGATTTCTTTCTCAGCCCATTTACCATTTATATACCAGTAGGCTACGAATTTTTTTGAGTTAATCTTCCATCCTACATCATTATTGAGGGGCTTATTAGTTGTAGAAGTTCTCTGGTAGAATTTCTGGGGTCACTTATGTACTATCATATCATCTGTAATTAGTGTAATTTTGACTTTTTCCTTTCCAATTTGTATCCCCTTGATCTCCTTTTGTTGATGTCCTTATTGCTCTAGCTAGAACTTCAAGTACTATGTCAAATAAGTATGGGAAGATTGGAAAACCTTGTCTTGTTCCTGATTTTAGTGGAATCCCTTTGAGTTTCTCTCCAGTTAATTTAATGTTGGCTTTCGGCTTACTGTAAATTGCCTTTATTATATTTAGGTATGTTCCTTATATTCCTGATCTCTGTAGAACCTTTATCATGAAGGGGTGATGGATTTTGTCAAAGGCTTTTTCAGCATCTAATGAGATGATCATGTGGTTTTTTTTTTTCAATTTGTTGATATGGTGTATTGCATTGACAGATTTTTGTATGTTGAACCATTCTTGCATCCCTGGGATGAAGCCTACTAGGCCATGGTGGATAATTTTTTTTGATGTGTTCCTAGATTCAGTTAGCCAGTACTTTATTGAGTATTTTTGCATTAATGTTCATGAGGGAGATTGGTCTGTAATTCTCTTTCTTTGTTGCATCTTTGTGTGGTTTGAGTTTCAGGGTGTCTGTAAGCCTCACAGAAAGAGTTTGGCAAGGTTCCTTACTTTCTATTGTGTGGAACAATTAGACGAGTATTGGTATGAAATCTCCTTGGAAAATCTGGTAGAATTCTGGGAATCCCAAGAGCTAGTCGCGTCTCCATTGAGAGGCCTTGTCCAGTCAACCCAGCTGCTCCCGGTCTTCATCAGTGGACATGGAGGCCGCCTCCAGCGCAGAAGCCCTGCAGGAGCTGCGGCAGCACCTGTGCACGGAGACAGAGCCAAGCAAGCTCGACCAAACCCTCCAGAAACTCTCTTCCCTGCCCAAGCTCCGTGACACCCTGGCAGAGATGAACTTCCAGCAGACCATGGAGCTCTTGAGGAAAGAGCAGCTCCTGGTCCCCTTTGCCAGGGACTTAGCCGGCATTTGGTCAGAGAGGTCCCAGTTTGGGCCCCATCCTGAGCCGGACCGGGGGGACTTTGCCTTCGCGTTGAGCCTGATGACATTGTGGTTCACAAACTGTCTAGACACAAGCCCAGTGAGTCCCCATCCTGGGTGTGTAAAAAATTGAATAAAAGTGGGTTGGGTTGACACACCCACTTAAATCCAGGGATATGGAGGCTGAGGCAGGTGGGTCCATGTAAATTCAGATCAGCCTGGTCTACAAACCAAGTTCCAGGACGGCTAGGGCTGTTATGCCGGGAAACCTATCGCCAAAAAAACAAAACAAAACAAACAAACAAAAAAGATGGAAAAAATGAAGTAAGAAAAATAAATAACAGAAAAAATCATAGAGAATGAAGGAGGGTGTTGGTGCACTAAGTGATCCCAGACATTCTAATTTACAAGGATATGTTCTCTCTTTGTGTGTGTCTTTCTCTCTCTGAGACACACACACACAGTGAGAGAGAGAGAGAGAGAGAGAGAGAGAGAGAGAGAAACAGAGACACACAGAGAGAAACCCAAAAGACACATAGTTTCACCCACACAGTTTGATTTTATGATCTTAATGTTTTATTTATGTATTTGTTTGTTTATTTAATTTAATGCCAAGGTGTTCAGCACTTGAGTCCTTGAGAAGGGGCTGGGTGGAGGTAAGATCCAAAGTGTAGTGTTTTCTCTGAAACACAGGTCTTCTTGCATGTGGCAACCTAGGTGCTCCCAGGTGGGCCCAAAGCCTAGGTGGGCCTAGGAAGCAGGCAGGAGAGCCTGCCCAGGGTCTCCAGAGAGGGCAGCCAGGAGCTGGAGCAGGAGGAAGGATAGCAGGAGAAGGCAGGCGCTGCAATGGCTGGTCTCTCCAGGAAGAGAGGAGATCTGGTTCAGAGGATTGCCAGCAACTCCAGGGCAGAGAGCATCCTCGGGTCACCCCCTAGAGAGCTTCTTCTTGTAATCCCTGAGGGCCTTGGTCATGAGCGGGGCAGGTCTCTTCTTAGGCTGGGGCTTGTTGCTGGTGGGCGGCAGAGGCAAAAGGCAGGGAGCCCTCCGTGGCGGGCCTTGGGCAGAGGCCTCCTGGTGCCTGCTCATTTGGGAGGAGGCCGCCCCTCTGGCTCCAGACTCTGCCTGCTGGCCTGGGCTTGGGGCTTGAACCTGGAAGGCCACCATCTTGGTTTGGCGGCCTCCAGGCTTCTTGGCTTGCGCGTCTTGGAGGCGGGCTCTCAGGGCTTGCAGCCTCAGCTCAGGGGGCTCCTGCAGCTGAAAGATTGTGGCCCTCTCAGTCTGGCTGTGAGTTGGCTTGCCAATGTGTGTCTTGGGACTGGCCTTCAGCTGCCAGGGCTCAGTTTGTTCAGCTGTGCCTTGACATCCTTTTGGCAAGCGGGAGTCAAGGGGCTTAGGAAGGCACCCTTTCTGGGATTTCTGCAGGATCCTGTCACGTGTAGGACCTGAATAGACAGGCGTTTTGAAGTTCTTTCTGCATGTCCAAGGTGGGTCTTCTGCTTCAGTGTCAATTGAAGTCTGTTCCTGGCCACTCGGCGGGATGCCTGCTTGGAGACTTAAGGCATGTTCTGCAAGGGGACACCCATCGACTCCATGGCCATTTTGATCTTGGCAAATATCTGACTTGCCCCGGGGCACCTTTGCTCCAGAGCTAAGGGCCTCAGCTTTCCGGGTGCTTTTTCCCCTCCTCTTGCACCCAGTCAGCTGCAGCTGCAGCTGCAGAGCAGAGGAAGGAGGAGAGCTGTCAGAGTTGAGGCAGGCCTCCAAAGGATCAGCTGGGGGCCCTTCCTCCATCCAGTGGCCTGGAATCTTTCTCCTAGCACCTGACTCGCTGGAGATGGCCTTGGCTGCTGGGAGCCGCCAGGGCTCCTCTGTACTTCCCTGGGGCTTTGCCACAGGCACCTGGTTCTGTGCAGCTAGCTCTGGGTCCCCTAAAGACACTCTTGGCCTCTTGCTTCCTCTTGGCTCCGGCCTTGGACTGCTAGTCACCCTTTCCTGGAGGCTTGAGTGTGGGCTTAGGCTCTCTCCAAGTCTCGGGCTCGGGCTCGGGCTCGGGCTCGGGCTCAGGCTCAGGCTCAGGCTCTGGTCCGGATTTGACTGTTTGCTGCTGTTTCTGTTTCTGCTTCTGCTTCTGCTTCTGCTGCTGCTGCTGCTGCTCACCTGGAAGACCTCTGTCCCATCTCGTCTGTGTTCCCTTGGTGCGGACTCTCGGGGCTTGTCTTCTGGACAGTTTCTGGGCCGCAATGTTATCAGGCTCAACGCGAAGGCAAAGTCCCCTCGGTCTGGCTCAGGATGGGGCCCATACTGGGACCTCTCTGACCAAATGGCGGCCAAGTCCTTGGCAAAGGGGACCAGGAGCTGCTCTTTCCTCAAGAGCTCCATGGTGTGCTGGAAGTTCATCTCTGCCAGGGTGTCACGGAGCTTGGGCAGGGAAGAGAGTTTCTGGAGGGTTTGGTAGAGCTTGCTTGGCTCTGTCTCCGTGCACAGGTGCTGCTGAAGCTCCTGCAGGGCTTCTGCACTGGAGGCGGCCTCCATGTCCACTGATGAAGACCCAAGGGGGCACCCCGGGAGCAGCTGGGTTGACTGGACAAGCCCTCTGCCTGGGGACGCGACTGGCTCTCAGGAGCAGAGGACACTGCTTCTGGGATGGAGAGTGTCTCAGCTCTTTGTCTCACTGCTGCTCTGCCTTCCTTTGCTTTTAAGGGGTTGGGTGGGTTATGCCCCCTAACCACTACCCAATCAAACACCTGGGTTGCAACTGTTAGGCACGCCCTTTCCGATTTACAGGTCTCTAAGCCACACCCACATCCAAACACTCTTGCCTTTACTTAATCTGCTTTAAAAACCTAAACAAACAAACAAAGCCAAGCCCAGAGAGCTGATTGATGGGTGCTAGGCCCCCGCCTCTCTTACAGGTGAACCCTGCCGCTTGGGACCCTAAATACGAATTTCTGTCTTCTTTTGGCACAGTGTGCTCACAAGTGGCTCATGCGAGCCTAGATTTCATCCCATATATGGCACCTACTCATTCAGCATAAGCCAGATAAGAATGGAATCCACTTTTTTTATAAGGGAGCTCCCCCACCTCTACTTTTTCTCCAGGTTTATTTATTTATTTATTTATTTATTTATTTTGACCACAGTTACCTTAATTGAATCAGGGCTCCTTTGATTATGCAATCCTTTTGGTGATAACCATTTCCTTGAATGAGGTCCTTTTTTGATTATGCAATCCTTTTGGTGAGATGTATCTATCAGTCTCAAAATTTAGCCACTGGGCAACAAAGTGCCCTCGAATTGACTGCTGACAGTATGCTATCCAAAATGGACAGACAGGACACAAAACAGTACTACTGATCCATGACAATACAAGTGTGGTTGCGGCTTTAGCAACAGGCATCCTCTGAGTCTACGACAATATGGCACCATCACTGAAGTGGCTTTGAAATCCAGAAAAAGTACAATTCCCTTTTCTTCAGAGACAGCTGAACAGGCACTGGACCTATTGCTTCTGGTGTACAGTGGAACAGCAGCTGTAACAGTTACTTTTAAGGGCTAACACAATCTCACCTCTCAGTGGTAGACTGGCATTTAAAAGAGAAGAAGCCACCCACAAGCCAAGAAAAATGGGAAACATAGGAGAATGGGATGCATAGAAGAATGGGATGCACAGAAGAATGAGATGCCAGGATGAAGCCACCCACAAACCAAGAAGAATGGGCAGCTGACTTTGAAAACATCAGTAACTTCCAGAATTTAAAATCCTGAATCTTGACAGGACACTGGTGGAATTCAAGTTTATCTGGTACATGGACTGCTCACATCGAATGTGAGATTGAACTGTAGGCCTTGGGTACATTCTACTTCACAAATGAGTCTGTCAGATACCCTAAGCCTATAGGCTGAAGATGATGCCCCAATATTGCAGAGAAACCTCAGGTAACTGTCCAGGCAGCTGGCTGTTTCTGTCAACTCACATTTTTTTTGGAAGTTATTAGTTTGCACTTCCTGTTTTATTAGGCAATATTATTTTCTTCTTGGGTCTCTGAGGGAGTTGAAGATTAGATAGTTATAATTATAGTTAGTTGAAGATGACGTAGTTGTAGTTACAGTTTTCCTTGTTAAGAAATTTCAGAAAAGAAACTCACTAAGGAGGTATAAAATGTAAAAGCTTGAAAGACATCCTGGGATAGTTTTCTGTTGATAGAAAGTTAGGATAGAAAGTGAATTAGGTACATTTTGGACTTAGGAAAATAGAATAGGTAATGGAATATTTTCTTTAGGTTTGTGAAATGCAAAGGAACTAGACATTGTTGATGTATTTATTGCTTGTATATATTGTATATACTTATTGTACTTATTTATATAGTCTTTCTTGTATTAGTTATAAGTTTTTATTATTTTTTATTTTTATTAGACAAAAAAGGGGAAATGTGTTATTTTATTTGTGCTGAAAGGTGGTGATATTTTATTTGTATGTTAATAAATAAAGTTTGCCTGGAGATCAGAGGTCATAGCCAGCCATATCTGTAAGTCAGGAGATGGGGACACACACCTTTAATCCAATCACAAGGCAGGCAGAGACTCTGTGTTCAAGGACACAGCCAAGCATGGTAACACACGCCTTTAATCCCAGTTCTAAACATAGAGACCTGGAGGTCTGTGTAGACAGGCAGTGAGGAGGAAGTGAGGTGGCTATGGCGACTTGGTGAGCTAAGGTTTGTTGGTGGCTATCACTCCGGTTTCTATGTTTTTCACCCCTGTATTTGGCTCTGTTTCTTATTTAATGAGACTTTTTAGAAATTCATCTACATTGGCTTTCTTGGCTTTTTTTTTTTAAAGTATATATTGGTTTCTTCCAATTGATTGCCTCTATATTCCACAATTTCTTTAAGGAAAAATTTCATTCCCTCTTTAAAAGCCTCTATCATCTTCATAAAGTTATTTTAAGGCCATTTTCTTCTCCTTATTCTACACTGTGATGTTCAGGTCTTGCTGATGTAGAACAGTCCAGATGCAGTATCCTATGCCCAAGAGAGACAGTCATCTCCCCAGGGAGGGGGCTTGACCAGTCAACCCTGCTGCACTTGGGCTGCCCCTTCATGTTGTCAACAGTGGACATGGAGGCAGCTTCGAACTTAGAAGCGCAGCAGAACCTACAGGAACGCCTGTGCATTGAGAAAGAGTCACACAAGATCTTTAAAACATGTGACACCTTGGCAGAGAATGGTTTCAGGCAGGCCATCCAGAACTTGAGGATAAAGAAGCTTCTGGTCCCAAAGAAAGCAAGTCAGAGGCTGGGCCAGAAAAGCAGTGCCTGTCTCCCCTGCTGGGAATGACTCCAGGCCACTGGATCCAGTAAGGACAGCCAGCTGCCCCTTTGGAGGCTTACCTCAACTCTGACAACTCTCCTCCTCTCCTCCTTCTGCAGACAAGGTGCAAGAGGAGGAGTAAAAGCAATTGGAAAGCCCAGGCATTTAGCCCTGAAGCAAAGGGATCTCTGGGCAAGTAAGAAACCTGCAAGAATCAGAATTGCAATGGAATCACTGGAAGTCCCCTTCCAGAGGATACCCGAAAGACAAAAACCAAAATGACCCCCCCCAAAAAAAAAAGTGGGGGGGAAGAGATCCAAGACATTATACCTTTCCCAAAAGGATTGCGTAATCAAAAAAGGACCTCATTCAAGATCATGGATATCAACAAAAGGATTGCATAATCAAAGGAGCCCTGATTCAATCAAGGTCACTGAGGTCAAGCAAAACAAAATAAAAACAAAAACACCTGGAGAAAATGTCAGAGGTGGGAGAGCTCCCTTATTTAAAAAAAATGGATTCCATTTTTATCTGGCTTACGCTGAATGAGTAGGTGCCATATATGGGATGCACTCTAGGCTGGCATAAGCCACTTGTGAGCGCATTATACCAAAAGAAGACAGAAATTCGTATTTAGAGTTCCAAGTGGCAGGGTTCACCTGTAAGAGAGGCAGGGGCCTAGCACCCATCAGCTCTCTGGGCTTGTCTTTGTTTGTTTGTTTGTTTGTTTAGGTTTTTTAAGCAGATTAAGTAAAGGCAAGAGTGTTTGGATGTGGGTGTGGCTTAGAGACCTTTAAATCGGAAAGGGTGTGCCCAACAGTTGCAACCCAGGTGTTTGATTGGGTAGTGGTTAGGGGGCATAACCCACCCAAGCTCTACAAAACCTTCAAGAAACTCTCTTCCCTACGCAAGATCTGCTACACCCTGGCAGAGATAGATGAACTTTGAGCAGATCATCAAGCTCCTGAAGAACGAGCAGCTCCTGGTCCCCTTTGCCAAGGAATTAGCTGCCCACTTGTCAGAGATGTCCCAGTTTGGGCCTCATCCTGATCCGGACCTGCAGAATTTTGCCTTTGAGTTGAACCTGATAACAGAGCCACCCAGAAACTGTCCAGAAGACAAGCCCCGTGAGTCCGCATCAAAGGAACACAGACAAGATGGAACAGAGGTCTTCAAAGTGAGCAGTAGCAGCAAACACTCATGTCCGGGCCCTAGACAGTGCCTGAACCTGAGTCACATCTGGGCCTCGAGACCTTGCCTGAACCCCAGCCCAAGACAGAGACCCAGACCTAGACTAAGACAGAGACAAAGCCCAAGCGCGAGCCCCATCTCAAACCGGAGCTAGAGCCAGAGCCAGAGAGCAAGACCAAGACCAAGGCCAAGCCAGAGCTGGAGACCTAGTCCCAGACCGAGACCAACATCTAGACTGAGTCCAAGCCCAAGCTCATAAACAAGCCCAGAACGAAGGGTAAATGCCAACACAAGGCTGGAGCCAAAAGAAAGCAGGAAGCTAAGAGGGTCCTTAGGGGAACCACAACTACCTGCACAGAACCAGGTACAGGTTTCAAAGACCCCAGGAAGTGCAGAAGATCCCTGGCAGCTCCAAGCAGCCAATCCCATCTTGGGCAAGTCAGATGCTGGGGGAAAGACTCCAGGCCACTGGATCCAGGAAGAGCACCAGGTTGGTTCTTTGGAGACTTGCCTCAACTCTGACAGCTCTCCTCCTGCTTCTGCACTGTGGCTGCGGCTGACTCAGTGCAAGAGTGGGTGGGGAAAGCACCTGGAAAACTGAGGCCCTTAGCCCTGGAGCAAAGGCGCCCCGGGGCAAGTCTAAAACTTGCCAAGATTCAAATGGCCGTGGAGTCGCTTGGCATCCCCTTGCAGAAGATGCCTCCAGTCTCCAAGCGGCGTCCCATTGGGTGGCCAGGAACAGACTTCAATTGACACTGAAGAAGAAGACCTGCCCTGGGCATGCAGAAAGAACTTCAAAACGCCAGTCTATTCAGGTCCTGCACGTGACAGGCTCCTGCAGAAATCCCAGAAAAGACGCCTTCCTGAGCCCCTTGACTGCCCCTTGCCAACTTGTTGCCAAGACACAGCTGAAGAAACTGAGCTCTGGCAACAAGAGGAGTCCAATCGCAAGGCATACATTAGCAAGCCAACCCACACCCAGACTGAGAGCACCACAATCCTCAAGCTGCAGGAGTCCCTTGAGCTGAGGCTGCAATCCCTGATAGCGCGCCTCCAAGGCGCGCAAGCCAAGAAGCCTCAAGGTTGCCAAACCAAGATGATGGCCTTCCAGGCTCAAGCTACAAGCCCAGGCCAGCAGGCAGAGTCTGGATCTGGAGGGGAGGCGGCCTCCAGGAGGCCTCTGCCCAGCGCCTGCCAAAGAGTGCACCCTGCTTACAGTCCAGGGTCAGTAAGAAGCCCCAGCCTAACAAACCTGTCCCGCTCATGGCCAAGTCCATCAGGCATTAGAAGAAGAGGCTTTCTTACAGATGACCTGTGGATGCTCTCTGCTCTGGAATTGCTGGCAATCCTCTGAACCAGACCTCCTCTCATCTCTTCCTGGAGAGAACAGACATTGTAGCACCTGCCTGTTCCTGGTATCCTTCCTCCTGCTCCAGCTCCTGGCCACCATCTCCCTAGACCCTGGGCATGTTTCTCTCCCTGCTCCCTAGGCCCACCTATGCTTTTGGCCCAACTGGAAGTACCTAGGCTGCCACCTGCAAAAAGACCTGCGTTCCAGAGGAAACACCCCCCCCTTTGGATTTTGCCTTCACCCAACCCTTTCCCAAGGATTCAATTGCCCAACACCTCGGCATCAAATGAAATAAAAAATAAATAAATAAATAAATAAATAAATAAATAAATAAATAAATAAATAAACATCAAGATCCTAAAAATAAACTATGTGGGTGAAACTAGGTGTCTTTTTGACTTTCTCTCTGTCTCTGTCTCTGTCTCTGTCTCTGTGTGTGTGTGTGTGTGTGTGTGTGTGTGTGTGTCTGAGAGAGAAAGAGTACATACGTTTGTGAGATAGAATGTCTGGGATCACTTAGTCCACCACCACCCCTCCTTCATTATTTATCCTTTTTTTCTTCATTTTTCTTACTTTATTCTTTCTTTTTTGTTTTTTGTGGCTTTTGTTTTGTTTTGTTTTGTTTTTTGGAGGTGGGTTTCTCTGTGGAATGGCCCTAGATGGATGTCCTGGAACTTGCTTTGAAGACCTGGTTGGTCTGGAATTTACATGGATCCACTTGCCTCTATGCTGTGGATATCATTCTATATAAATAAAACACTGATGGCCAGTGACCAGACAGGAAGTATAGGCGGGACAAGGAGAGAGGAGAATTGGGAAAACAGGAAGAAGGGG